AATCTGTCCCAATACAGCAATTTAAATTGACACCCCCGTGTAACTAATTTCAGTGCTAATTCACTAGTTTTGGATTTTTGGTCTAGAGGGACAAATACTAGTGAATCAACACAACACTTGATTTGCCTTAGCAGTCTTCCATCAGGTATTGACTAGATTCAGTCGTGTTTGGCCCCAGACCATGTTTCAATACAATATAGATGCTTTTGTACATTTAAAAACGGAAACCTTCACCTCACGTAGCACTGGGATTGCGTAAGCAGTAGCATGCAGGCCCCAATGAGATCAGGCAGCTTGTGGTATAGCTTGGATATGAACCAGCACCCTCCAGTCTAAAGTACTATCCTCAAATGTATTTTGTATTGTTGCAAATATTTTTATTGTTTATTTTATTGAATAATATTAGCTTAGTCCGAGTGGAGGTCTATTTAATTGTGTTCTCCTACAGCTATGGAAAAGATCAGGGAAATATAAAAACCCCTTTTTGGCTGGTTTTATCACTTTTTATGTAATTACTATTCTTTAAACATGCATTTGTACACCAGGTAATTATTTGAACTCTCAGACATTGAAAAGAATGATCAGGCATTCAGAATAAATAATATATTCTAAGTGCAGGACAATTAATCGAGTATTAATGAGTAAAGGTGCTCATTAAATAGATCCACTGTGTCCAGTATGAATGCCAGTAGCAGTGCCACTTAATAGTACAGTGTACAAACAAACTTCCCGTCAGGTCAAATTCAGCTGTAATTACATTACACTTAATTTAGCTTCCTGTGTGCATTGAGAACAACAGATTTTTATGAACCTGTGTATGTTCTGTTGCCATCTTCATTTTAATGGAGTACAGTGTAATTGCTCCCTCACACAATGGAGTCATTAAGACAATTTCCTTTAAGAGATAACATTCCTGAACACAGAATACAGTATGATTTAATTACAAAGGTGAGGGTTGGCCTTGGCTCTCAGGATGGCTACAACTGTTTTATTCAGTGATTTCACACTGTGTTCTGGATGACTGCCACTAACCCCAAGGTATTCAAAACTGAAGAGGATTATTTACCTGGTTTAATGTGGAAGTTCAGTGAAGTCTTCTTAATTGTAGGATCTCTTCCTTTCAGAGTAGTTAATACTTTAACTTCCATTACACGTCCAAAATTAAACTAAGAAAGAACACTTTCCGGTTATTGCAGGCACAATACAAAAATAATATATTGTTGTCCTGTCACCTTTGAATCACTAATACGGCTGGTGTAACAACACAGAAATATATACCAACAAAATACCATAACTAAGTCAGACATAGAGGTGTAAAGCAAACTAAAAGCATTAGAATACTTAGTGGCAAAAGGTAAAGTAGTATCCACAGAAGAAATAAACCTATAATGTTGTTTCATTGTTACTCCACACTGAACACACACAACATAAAAAAAAATCAGTTTCACAATAAAACAGTATTTCTTTCAGTTTATCCCATAATTTGTGTGATATCTAATATCTAATGATCCTACAACCTAATACATTGGTGTAGTTACTCAAAAGGATTACAGAATGGGCCATGGGACAAGACAGATAAACCTCCTCAGGTGATCCGGTGGTGGAATTAATCACAAGTAATGCTGGAAACAGGGCTTTAGGGAGTGGTCTTGTTTTTCCACCACTGATCTCTATACTTCATTCATAAATTTATGACTCTGCGACACCAGTTGAGTATATACAGACAGCCCGAAGACAGTACCTTTTTTTCCTTTAAAGTGAACAACATTCTTTTCACAAATGAACACAAAGTGGGATAATATAGAAGAATCTTCTCATTAATACAAGGTCTTATTTTTCAGTGTTTTCATCTTATCCATATGCCTGTATTACATATCCAGTGTTTGAAAACACACTGGAAGACAAAAGTTTTACATAAAAGCACTTTTGAGAATGCTCAACTTAATTTTCACAGGCTGACATTTCTCACTTTGAAAACCTTACAATATATAAAGAATACTGTATGTGGCTTTGGACAGCATTCTTGTAGACGTTAATCTAAGATCCCTGCAACTCTTCTTTGCAGCTGTTAGGAAGGTCAGAGGCTATGATGTGGAATCTGAGGCGGTTCCAGTGACAAGATTGCAACAAACCACGAAACTTTCTGTGTCTCATCTGATTATAGTGCCAATGAAGGCCAGATGGATTTTTAACATTTCCTGTCTTGTTCTTTCTAATTTGTATGTAATTGAAAGGCATCCTCTTTGTTGTTGTTTTTTTCCTTACTGGCTCGTATTTTTGTGCTGTTTTATTTATTACAAGAGCGTTTGCATTTTTGTAAATTGAGGTCTCCACACAAAACTGTCAGTAGCTTTCATTCACTTTCAAATTGTCCAGGCAAAAGTTAAATTTTGAAAGCTGTGGCTGAAACCCATTTCTTACCATGTTCACAATCTGCAGACTTAATGTATTTTAATCTAACAGAGAAATTTATGTTAGAATTCCAGTAACAGCTGGAATGCTTTATTTTTATTTTAAAACAAGAGATTATAATATGCCAAACAAGTAAATACTGAAGTACCTTGTTAATCTTTTGGGATAGAGTGGAATTTCTGTGTGCCATATGCAAATGGCATGCTTGAATCTCTCCAGGCATCTAAAGTTCATCTGTGGCTGCCAGTCTGAACAAGTATGTTCAAGTCACTTGAACTGTTCTCAGCAAGGACCAAGCCTTATTATTCGACTGTCATCTGCTTTAAAGAGCTCAGCACACATCACAGTATTTAGCAAACATTATTTAAAACAGCTGGAGATGCTCTTCATACACTTATATCTATGCAGTGCTCCCAGACTTTGTGGTTTATAGCTATAAAGCTCACTTAATAATAAGCTTTTATATGTGCAAGTGAGTTTTGTGCTCTGGGATGGCTGCATTTTCACCTGTCAAATATGAGTAATGGGAAAAAGAGATTTAAATTTTACACACTCTCTTGCACATATATGTGATGGATTTATTGCAGCTTCAGAGTCATCTGTTCATGGTAGATCAAGAGAACCCCATAGTGTGAAAAAGATTTACTACTGCAAATGTTTCTTGATGCTACCATTGGTATCAGTCAACGTCTTACAAATACAATTTTAATCTCCTATGAAAGCAGCTGCAAAAAGCTGTGTTAATTAGCAATATCACAGGAAAATATGCAAGTAAAATGCACAAATGATGTACTTGCATGTCTTGTATTTCTGAAAGATTGATTGTTCACTCAGAAATGCAAGATTAATTGTATTGCAATTAGCACATATTGTAAATCTGAAATCTTCCTGTGGACAGGCACTCACAAAACACCTGTTTTATGACCCCAATTTTTTCACATAGAAAGTTACACTAAAGAAAATCAGATACACATGTTAGCAGTAAATCAAATGTCTAAAAAAAGGATTTGCTTAAGCCAGTTTATGTGCTCGTCTACTTGCCATATTTTCTATTTTAGTAGTGCTTCATTTAGTTTTTCTAGAGGTTCCAAATCAAATACTTCTCATTACTCACTGCTTACTTACTTCTCTAATTTTTCACAATTTAAGCACAGGTTAATCTCCTCTAAATGTTAACCACTGTAGCTTCAGGGTACAATATATTCAAGGGCGTGACAAAGGTATTGCATATGACACATTCATAAATGTAGTCCCCAGTAACTTAACATTAGCCTTTAATACAAAGTCAACAAGTAAGCTATGCTATTCATGTGCTGTAGTTAAAAGTGCTCTACTGTAAATGGGCAAATCTTTTAAAGGCATGGGATACATAGACTTGCTCTTTTGCATGAAATCTGGCACCAACTATAAATCTTCAACAGCTAATACATCACTGACACAGTAACTCTCCGTCAAAGCAAACAGTACCTGTTATCTGACTTGTCTCATTTGAGAGCTAAACATTTCCAGAGCGGGAAGGTACGTATACCAATGGGATCATCTCTGTAGTGCAGCACTGTTGTAGAACATTACATACTGTTTCCGAAACTTTCATGTTGAGCTTGGATACATATTTTTTTTTATTTCATTAGTTCAACTATAGCTCTTCACATGGCGAAGGGGATACCGAAGTAACCTAAAGTTAGCCACTATTTCAGTAATATCTGAACCAGGTAGGGTAAACTTCATCAGTGCATGCAGCAGTATATGAGGGTTCTAGGAACAAACCCCTCAAAACTATGTAAAAAACGTTCAGTCATAAAAAGCTCATGTGTAAAAGGCCAGTTAAGTCTACAAACTTCTGTTTTCTCTTTTTCCCCCCTCCACCGTATAACAGCAGCTGTTCCAGTTCCAAATGTATAAATTTGCATTTCAGGAACATGTGTACCGGTATTGTATTCTAAATTCACAAATCCTACTGTTCTCAATACATCATTTCACATTGGCACAAGTTGAGGAGTAACTTTAACCACAGAATGGTATGGTGGACGCAGAAAGACGTTTTAATTTCTCGAATCAAAAAAAAGTAAAAAAAAACTAAAATACAGTACTTGTCTTATCTTTGTTACTTTTAAATCTAATTGTTGGAGCGCCATATCATTGTCGATTTCGAAACCTTAGGCCTTCGGCAAAGAATTTTAACTTACCTTTTACCTAGCAGGATGAAGAGAGATCGCGGTTTAACAGAACGGAAGCTGTTATAAACCTACTCTTCACAGAAAACATTTGTGCTTCAAAGCGATTAATTTCTATTAAATAATCTGTGCATTTCATAAATGTGATATATTAACAAAACCGGCATCCCCTTTTTTTAAAAAAAAAACCAAATGTGACTGGATATAGTTTTACGCAACCAATCACAGTCGTTACAAACGATCAAACTGATCCTTAAATAAAATGCTTGACTGACGCTCTAGTTGAAGAAAAATAAACTGTGGTGGACCACAATGTTCTTCTTGCGATTTCTAGACGCTCTTATTTTAGATACAGCTTTATCGCTTTCATCGTACAGATGCCGGTTTATAAACAAATAGTGTTATTGCGATTACCTCTTGGTCCATTGTAGGGTAGCTGATGTCCAAAAGATGGTATTCAGGGGAAAGCGGTTCATTTAAGTCAGTTGCACCCGGCGTCACAATTTCATCTCTGTTTTTCTGTGAAAGCTCGCGTTTCACTTCAGATCTGAGATCCAGATAGCAGAAAAGTGTGATCAAATGCAACGAGAGGGACAATACGAAGAATCCCAGGAAAATCTTACAGTTGTTACATTGTTTCCTGCACATGCAGGTTGTAGGAAGTTCAGGTTTCAGTGCTTTCTCCTCTAAGTTTGCAACATTTTCTGTTAAACCTTTAGATGCCATTTTTTTGTAAATAGAAACAGGTAGTGCTATTTCAGCATAATCAGCTGCTTTCTGGGGTCTGATCCACTACTGATCAGTAACTTTGAAGCAGAAGCCCACATGAAAACCACTCCTCTGATCTTTTTCCTTGATCAGAATAAGTAACCAAACTAGCAAACCGCGTCAATCACTAGTAACAATCCGGTTTTAGGATCCGCCTTTAGCGTTTCTGATTGGGGACTGGATACGTAACGGAGGCAGAACACAACCCATTTTCCCTCCTCTCTTCCTTCTTTCATATGCTTTCTTTTCATGTGGAGTAGTTGCTGCTTATGAAAGGGTATACAAAAGGTCACGTCATTCATTATGGATTACTCGAAGAACTTTGCCCATGAAGTTCATATTGTTACTCACGCAATTTGTTAACTGACATGGTGTCTAAAGCAGAGAACTGCTGAAGTGCTGACCTCGGGAAAAGCAAAGAAAGGTTCAGGCAAAGCAGGAAGCACTTGCTATTGTGAATCAAGCACGTTTGCTGCAAAGAGTTATTGGGCGGTGATGAAATGCACGTGGCGATTTGATATACAAACGTAATTTTATATATATAAAAAAAGATACATTTTATAAACCTGACAAAACAGTAAGCGTGCTCTGGAAAATTTCAAATCGCAGTTGTATTTTGAAAGTTCTCCATCAAGTGTAATCCGTTTATAGAATATATCTCATATTACAATTACAATAAATAAAGCAAAGTGAGGGGGGCGTGTAATAATTCTTCTAAATTTACGCTGTAGTTCAAATGTGGCTATTATTTTGAGAAAGCTAGGGAATTAAAATTTTGATTAATCTCTTACTGTCTTACCTTTAAATTATGCATTAATATACCCTACATCATAACGTTGGCAACTTTTATGAAAGCTTAAAAAACTTTAGTTGACTACTGTTTATTACTGAGTACTCTGTAGGAGAAAGCATGAAAATCCTTTACACGGAGATCCATATTATACAGCTGTTTATTAAAGAATATCACCTACTCATGTAACATATTCCTAGTTACTCCTACTGTACATGGCTCCCTGTTACAAAACATAGCTGCTTTTTTTAAATGTTCACATTTAGTAACTTATATGTTCTTCAGATCACATTTATTTGATTTGCTGATCAAAATTAAATGATCAAAGTTGACTTACTTTCCATCTCAAAACTTTAATTAACGTTATTGGAATGCTTCTTCACATCTAAATCCAGATCTATACATGACTGAAATGATTTATACTGTTATAATTAAAATTTATTTTTACACAACAGGAAACTTTTTGTGTGTTTTCCCTTCACTGAGCTCAAAGATTAAGTAGGGTCTTTTTCTTTAGCTTTAATACTTGCTGTGTTTGAAACTTGTACAAGTTAGTAATTATGCACCAAAATTATCACCAAAAGACTTTGCAAGTACTTTATAAAATAAAAGCAAGAACATATGACACATGCATTTTAATTAAGGAGCGCAGAGGCTGTCTGATGGTATTAAAAAATCTCAAAATAGACTAAACATCTGGAGATGACACATCTACTAGTGTGAGACTTCACGCAAATGCTTGGAAAACATGCATTTTCCTTGTCATCTTTTAGTGTATTTCACTTGAAAGCAATTTAAAAAAGGTCTATTAAAGATCAATTCTTTTGAGAACAGTAAGACTTCTTAACTTTCTTTTAAAATTCCTTAAATTTAATTATTCTATCAAAGGAAATGGAACAAACGATAATAATAATTCCCAATACTTTTTTTTGCAAATCTAGTACATTACCAAGCAATTGTTATCCCAAGCACTGAAGTTACAAAAGAATAGTTACAAATGAAAGGAAGCCATCCTGCCATTCTTGGTTGCTAGTAGCGTAATGATCCAAGAATTCCAAGAAGCCATTTTTTTAAAGGATACCATGGATCAGGTTTAACAACATGCTAAGAGAGGTAGTTCTAGTCAGCTTCCTACAATTCAATGTAAAAATGTTTTCCATTCTGAATGCTCCTAAACTTCTTGTATCTTTGGATCTCTTTCTTTACTGTTAGTATGGATTTGATATGCAATCCTTAAAAAGCTAAACTTTAGTAAAACTTAATTTATGTTACTAGAATGGATTTCCCTAAATAATATATGCACAGTTTGAATGCACAGAATAAATAGTAGATCTTCATTCAAATAATTAGGTCTGTGGAGCTCTAACCTTATTTTAACATGCTCAATGTACTACTAGTTAGCCTGATGGAAGTATGGGAATCTTTGGCAACCTTTGAGTTACAAGGAATGTCTAAGCCTAATTATTCCCATGTTAAATATTTCAAACATGCATTCAATACTTAGTATATAATTCCAGCACCTGTACCTCAGTTTAAATGCTTTACACCACAAAGGAAAAGCCAGAGGGTTTGTCCATAATAACTTTGTTAACAACTAGGAAAACCTTGATGTGGTGCAATCAGAAGAGATAAATCCTGAGTAAAACTCTAGTCCCCCACAATCATGGCTCTCTTCAAAAAACATTTGCTGGGATTGTATGCTAGACATTAATTTGCCAACCTACATTTTATAAGGTCTGAAATACAGTTTGCATGTGCTGCATTAAACTTCTTTTTGAAGTTGGAGAGAGTGTATTTCTGTGTTGTAATATAACAGCTTTCAAGCTTTCAGAAAAGATCTGGACCCACACCAACACAGTGGAAGAAGATGCACTCTTAAGTACATATGGTAATTTACATCTTTAAAACATTAAAATAAAAGGCATAACAACATAATTCTTACATATGTATCCCAATAAACATTCAAGCAGCCAAGACTGACTTAAAAAAAGGAATATGCAATATACATGTACAGTATAGTTAGCATTTATTTATTTGTTTGTTGTTTTATACATGTACAATATATGACAATTCACCTACATACAGTATAATGGGCAATAGTGGTATGAACGATCTAATCTGTTCATTGCGTGACTATCTGCTTAAAAGAACTTTTAAATGCATTTAAGTATTGCTCAATTCAGTTAAAGACTTAAGGTCCTTGCTTTTAAGACAATCCCTACAGTTTCAAAAGCAACAAACCTGTTACAGTATATTAAGTTCTAAATTAAATCTTTGGTTATTCCATTTTAATGTTCTGTTTTTGATGTTTCCTGTTTAAAAACAAACAAAAAGTATCTCTGGATCTTGTCCATAGTTAAAATCAGTTGCAAAACTATCTGCCAAAATGGCCTGGTAATCATAAATATTACAACATACCAGTGTTATATTATTGTTACTGATCTTTTTCTGTTTCCTTTTGTTTGTTAGTGTTGCATGTTAAACTGACTAATCATCAGTTTCATTTTCAGTTCAAAATAAGGAATGACATGAGTTTATGTCATTATACTTAAAGTGACTGTCCATAGCAACAATTATTATACCATTATTAACAAGTATTTTGAGTTGTTATCTCAAAGTTAAGCTGTAGAGTGCGGTAGTTAAGTTGTAATATGTGGTGTTACTGTATAAAGTCTACTGTATTTCTGTATACAGTGACTGTATAAAGTATTATTACTCTCTCTTATTCTTAATATATGAATTTATGCTTTAGACCAGTGACAGTAGCATCTCATTCCTAGTTGCATCCTGACTGCCGAAGCTGTAATGTTGAGGCTGTTCTTAAGAATACATGACAATCATAGATCAATAAATCTGAAGTGTTTAATACATACTGATGTATGAAATATTGCTTCATTCTATCATGATTCCCAAACCAGAAGAGAAGCACTATTTAAGACCTCATGTTGAGGTGACAGCAAAAAAAAATTATAATGCATTGACTCCATTATGTAACTGAAACACCCATATAATATACTGTATGATTAAATAAAACTGTTCATCATAGGGCACGCAGAGACATGCACTCACATGCACACCAGGGCTAGTTTTCCCATAAGCCAATTAACCTACCATTATGCCTTTGGACTATGGGAGGAAACTGGAGCACCTGAAGGGAATTCACAAAAACAAACTCCACACAGTATCCCAGGAATGGAACCCAGGGACCCAGTGCTGTGAGGTGGGAATGTTAAGAAATACCTCTTTATCCCATTCAACAATAAAAAGATTGCAACCGGATAGCTGCTAGGCTAAAGCTTTGGTCATTGGAAAATCAATTGTTTTCTCACCAGAAATGTTTAAATTGAGTCTTGCTGTTCATTACATTGGACATTACATTTTAAAATGGTTCTATCTTGCTGGGCATGTTTAGTATAATTGGCGTGCACCCATGCATGTAAAATCTACTATTTCCCTCTCTTACAAACATGAAAACACAAAAAAGCTCAGAAATCATTAGATTCAACACTTTATATTTTTAGGCACAAGGTAACAGATATTAATCCTAGATAAACAGAGATATAATAGTTTTAAAATAGGAACTCAGTTGCTGGAATCATTAGCAGAATGAATAGAATAAAGTTAGCTTAGTCAATACAGGTGTTAGTTCATGCTACTAAAAATACAGGCACAAGAAGACAAAGAAGAACATTATCATCATTGGGTGAGTTGCACATATTCTATGGAACTCCTTTTTAAATAAATGCAAATACCATTACAGTGAATGGGTGCAATCACCTTACACACAAAAAGTAATATTCACAAGTGTGTAGGGCAGTAAAATGACTCTTCATCCCACTTTTTGATGGATGCATTGTGCTGCTCCATTTGGGAGCTATCCGTAATCCTCAAAGTGTCAGGCACCCTTTGAAATAATGGGATCTGTCAGATCTTGGCAAGGCAAGGGAATGTCTGCTGCCCTATTCATTCCTGTCTGCACAGCTGTCATGGAGCACAAGGCTGAGAGACTTTAATATTGTGGAATGTGTTTGGATAAATTGGAAAAATATGATTAAAACAGAAGAGTGTAATAATTTCCTCATGTTTTTAAAAACAACTTTTATTGTTTACCCACCCAATCTCCTTCTTCTAGCAAGTTCTTAAAAAGGACTCTGGTACCTAAATTGGAAATCTGTGGCCAAGTAAGTCACACAGTTAAAATGGGTGTGTTGTTTTCTATTGTTGTGGTCCATGACTTTATGAATAACAATTGCTTGAAAAGTTTGACTGTCATTCAATTCAAACATGATTTTAAGTCTTCTCAATAATAATGCTTTTCTAGAG